AGCTAAACCCTAAACCCTAAACCCTCAGTAAACCCTCATCCCTGAATAAACCCTAAAGAAACCCTACACAAACCCCAAACCCTAGACTATAACAAAACCCTAATACAAGGTATATTATTGTTTTCGTGTGGCTGAGAGCGTTTCTCTGGAAGGTCTAGGGTTTAGGGTTTAGGGTTTAGGGTTTAGGGTTTAGGGTTTGTGGCTGCAGTATGAAAAGGCTTTTCTTGCTGCTTCGGGGGGGTTTAGCGCTTTCTTTGTTGTTGAAGACTCCTCTGATGCTACGGAGTTGTTTAACCTGCTTCGTTCTCAAGATTTAGGAAGGTGCAATGTCTTAGCATTACGTGTCCTCGTGCGTAAACCCTAAACCCTAAACCCTAAACCCTAAACCCTGGGGTTACGAGTCGCAAGGAGATGGGCGAAGCAGAAACACTGAATGCGTTTCGCAATTTAAGCAAAACCCTAAAACAATAAACCCTAAACCCTAACCCTAAACCCTAAACCCTAAACCCTAGCCTTTGCTTCCCCTTTCACTAAACCCTAAACCTAAACCCTAAACCCTAGCCTCAGGGAATCTATTAAACCCTAGAGCATCTTTACTTTAACCCCAACAAAACCTAAATTAATTCTTAAACCCTCGAAAGCAGATGCCCTATTGGTTGCTGTACGACATCGGTTTAGGGTTTAGGGTTTAGGGTTTAGGGTTTAGGGTTTAGGTGTTTTTATGAACAGGAGCGAGACCTGCAGAAGCGGCTAGAGGAGGCTGATGCGGAGGCGAAGAGGTGCGGAGACACCTCAGCACCGCGACTGCTTGATTTGCTGCAGTTTGCTGAGCCTCGCCTTCGTATTGCGTTCTTTAAAGCTGTGGGGTCTACAAGGGTGGCTAAGGACATCGAAGAAGCTGCACAAATCGCATACTCTCGAAAGCAAAGAGGCAAGAAACCTGCGGGACTTAGGGTTTAGGGTTTAGGGTTTAGGGTTTAGGGTTTAGGGTTTAGGGTTTTAGGGTTCAGGGTTTGGGTTTTCAGTTTACGGGGTAGGGTTTAGGGTTTCAGTTTTTAGGTTTAGGGTTTAGAGTTTAGGGTTTAGGGTTTAGGGTTTAGGGTTTATAGGCTGCTGATCGGCGAGGAGGGAGAAGGGTCCAGCGGTCTGCGGGGCGTATGGGGGTTGAACTTCAGGGGTTTAGGGTTTAGGGTTTAGGGTTTAGGGTTTAGGGTTTGTTGCAGTGGTGACACTCGACGGGGGTTTGATTGAAGTGGATGGGAGAATGGTTGGCGGGGGTTTAGGAGGCGGCAGCTGCAGCATCCGCACTGATGGTTTTGCTGCTGCTGAGGGTTTGCATGCAATCCCTAAGACTGAAGCAGAGCAGCAGCAGCAGCAGAAGCAGCAGCAGATGCAACAGCAGCAGCTGCAGCAGCTCCAGCAAACCATCAAGCAACTGCAACACAGCATTGGCGAGCACAAACGGAGGCGAGTAAGTGCAGATACCCCTGGGGTAACTAGGGTTTAGGGTTTAGGGTTTAGGGTTTAGGGTTTATGGGCTAGGGTTTAGGGTTTAGGGTTTAGGGTTTAGAAGCCTTGCATCCTAGTGAATGGATGTATTATCTTGTGGCTGGGCGTCTGCTCACCTCCTAGCTAGGGTTTAATGAAAACCCTTTTCGTGTATCACCCAATTTAGGGTTTAGGGTTTAGGGTTTAGGGTTTGGAGGTCTTGCTCGTTGCTGCAGGATGAAATGATGGTTACTGAGAGACACCTGGAGAGACAGCGCGCGGAAGCAGAGTCTGCTGTAGAACTGCTGCAGCAAGACATTGCAGCGGCAAAGCTTCAGGTTAGGGCTTAGGGTTTAGGGTTTAGGGTTTAGGGTTTAGGGTTTATATCGCCGTCAGCCACCGCTTTTGAAAGGGATATGGATGTTAGGGTTTAGGGTTTAGGCTTTTCGTGGAGAAGGCGGAGCCGGAGCAACATTTCGAACGGGTTAAGCCTTAAGGGTTTAGGGTTTAGGGTTTAGGGTTTAGGGTTTAGGGTTTAGGGTTTGTTTTCAGAGGCGGGAGTTGGAGACGCGGCTGAAGAGGGCGATGGAAGAAGATTTAACAGCCGAAGAGAAAAACCGCCTAACCAAATTGCAAGCAGAGGTGCGCATTCAGGGTTTAGGGTTTAGGGTTTAGGGTTTGATGTTTAGTGTTTAGGGTTTAGGATTTGGGGTTTAGGGTTTGGAGTTTAGGGTTTGGGGTTTAGGGTTTAGGATTTGGGGTTTGTTTTCTAGAATTTAGTGCCTAGTGTCTAGGGTTTAGTGTCTAGGGTTTAGGGTTTAGGGTTTAGGGTTTAGGGTTTAGGGTTTAGGGTTTAGGGTTTAGGTTTGCGCTCAGGTGGCTTCACTCAGTGCCGCACAAGCTTCGCTACACTCCAAGGTGCTGCAGCAAGAGCAGCAAGTGCAGCAGCTGACGCAGCAGGTGCAGAACGCAGGAGGAGAAGAAATGCAGAAAAGGAGAGCGCAGCTCCTTA